CCTGTGTATGGCATGTTGGGCTGACTCGGCAAACCTCTTGATGTACCTTTTGAACCTCCATGACAAGTGCTCACTCCAACCCATCTCAAAAGTGTTATCATGTATGTATGTGATGACAAAAACTGTAAAACTGGATGCTTACTTTATCATGTACATGTACATGATGTCTATACATTTGAACTACCATTTCTTTGTTTATCACAGGCGCAAAGTAAAATCTGACTCTACCTTGTTTTGAGTTGGTGCTCCTTGGAACAACTCAAAATGCACCTTGCTTTTGCTTTCACCCCCTCCATCAATTCCATAATCAGTGGCCAACATGCTGCCCTCACTTCCAGTTCATGTACAACCTCACACCATACTCAGTCAGTTGCACTCACAGACAGAACTTCATTCTTAACATTTGTGCTGAATTAGAGACTATTCCTGAAAACTTCACTCCATTCACTTTTAACTCCACAAATTCCAAGTTTTTACAAAATCATTTTCATCTCAAGTCTCTCAATATCACTTATAAGCAGCAGTCTAGCATGTCAAAATCACATGTGCAGATCCAAATCTTCAAAACTGCCCTATAAATCAAAAATGTCAAATCTCACACAATTTTAGCACAACAAAAATTCCTCAGTCATTTGTGACCTCTCATTTCAAATGACCACAAGTTTACAGATCATGGCCTTGATTGAAGACAGAATGGGCATGCACTATACCACATGAATATGCCATTGTCATCTGGATTGATGGTGAGAATCAGGTAGGCCAGTACATCACACACTTCTTCCATTTCGCCCAGGCTCTTCTTGCCCATCACAAAGAACAGAATTCCCACCCTGGGGGGGGGGCAGAGAGAGAGAGAATACAGCGGACACCCATAGTGGTGAGCAGCAAGGAAAGCAGCTTAGATGGCAGCAAAGAGTTATCCTGGAATTGCTTCTTCATGGCCTTGACAATGAACTGCCTTCAGTAGAGCACAGCAATATCAGCCACAGAGACTGTGCTTGCAAGGCTTAACATCAAGGAAAGTATGGGCTATGAGGAGGAACTGGTGCACTACATGTTTGGGTAATACAGCATACCAAATGACTTACTGTGGAGTCATTTGGTGCAAGCACTGGCCTACCCCACCCATTGACAGGTACCAACATGAACTCAACTCAATGGTATAACAACCATCCTTACCTTCTCCATTATAGAGTCATGTGCTTGGGTGCTCCCAACAACTCTGCTTGATGCTGTGCTGCCAGCCCTCACAACTCTGGCAGAAACAATGGATGAGATTCACTGGTCTGACCACCTGTCACCCTACAACCATACACTTAACTTCCTGATCCTCTTCACAGGTTCCTGATCTTTTCACCAACAAGTAAGTGCAACTTGGAGTCTGTGTGGAATGCATTAACGCTGTGCTGGTGGCTCATAACATGTTCCACATGTTTCAGTTCAGTGATGCTGTTACAGTCATGGCACACATGATTGCCCTAACCTTCATCAGCTACACCCTGTAAACCCTTGGCACATTATCCTTAAACATTGAGCTGTGTGGCATACCATTTACAATTATTCTTTCTCTGCTGCCTGGCCTTCTCTGTTTTTCCCTGCAGACCATGAACACCAGATGCTGCCAATTCAACCTCATCACACAACACTCAGAGTTTGGTGGGCACCTAATGGTAGCACAAGTAGATGTTTACATCTGCTAGTATACAGAGTGTGTTGGAGTGAGGGTGTGTAGAGTAGAACTCATCCTCCTGGTTGAGAGCACTGTTAAATCCTTTGTTGGTATGAATGTACCCACAGGTATAGAGGTAAGTAGTGGGAGACAGGGTTTGGAAGGGGGCTATCCTCAACATCAGTAAGTGTAATCCCACACTCCTCAGAGGAACCTGCAGCACCAACACAGTAGGCTTCTGAGGAGCAGATGCCCAACCTGTGCACCATGGCCAACCTCCCTCTGGTGCATTGTCCCCCATTGTTGACTCATTCCAACCACCACAACAACCCAGTCCTCTTCTCCCAGCAGACTCTTCATGCTGCTTGGGATGTGGCATCCTTTCAAATCAGTGTGCAAAGTGGTCTGGGCAGTAAGCTCTCCTCTACTGCAAATCTTGCTCCACCACCTGAGTTATTCCAGAACAAGTGCCTGACGTGTTTTTCCTTCAGAGCCATCTCACCCAAGTTGTTGGTGCTGCTTTCCACAAGCTGGCCCCCTCAGGCCTGTGCTTCAACAAGCCTTCCACAGCATATGACTCATCCATTTGAGTCAGCAACATCCAACTGCAAAACCTCATTGTGTCCTATAGTGTACATAGTTCAGCTTCTTCATGAGGATGTCCATCAGCTCATCCTTGGCCTCAAGGAAAGTTTGGTGAACATAACTTGTTAAGTTTTACTCATTTCCATGGCATCCTCTCAGCATGTGACCAGCTGTTTGCAGCATCTAAGGCTGACAGCATGTGGGTGGCGTACTCCAGCACTGTTTGGGCATTCCAGGACTTCTGCAGTGTGTATTCCCTACTTGCCAGGCCAGCATTGGTTGACATGGTGCACTTGGCATGGGGACGCTGGGCTGCCCTCACCTACGCTTGACCAATATGTATGCAATTGCTAAGGGCCTGGTGTGGATGATGGGCAAGCTTGCTGCGCTCAAGAAGGCCTTGTGGCCTGCTGACATTGAATGTGTGTGCCAGCTTGATGGAAGCCCTGACCCTGTTGTTTAGTGATGTGTTGTTTTGGTCATCCTTGGCTGGTCTTCATGGCTGCAGATTTTGGACTGGGAGGTTTGGCCACAGGCCAAGAAGAGCACCACAAGGCTGAACTTGCTGCTCTACATTGGTGAATGATGTAACATTATTGTTATAAATCAAGAATGTTCCATTGTCATTTGTGACCTCTCATTTCAAATAAGTGCAAGTTATAGGTACATTGGTCCAAGTGAGCCTTCTTTGCAGGAGGTGGTGTGTGAGGCAGCTCCTGGCTGGATGGGACTGACCACACTCCCTGGAGCTCATGCATCACCTAACAAAGGCACAACCATGAGCAAGATTTCAACACCACTTCAAATGCCAGGAGTCAGGGCACCAAAGAAGTGTGGTACACTGCTAGGCATGGGAGGTTGTGTAGCTGCCACACCATCAGCAAAAAGGTATCAACCAAAGCAG